CAATCGTACCTGGATATGCCGTGCACGTGCGGTTGGATCTCTTGTGGATCGTAAGCTCTGGCGAATGACCAACAAACATAACAAGCGCCATCCCTGACGTGGCTCCCTTTGAAGTAGAAAAAAATAAAAAAGAACGAACAATCATACATGCCTTCGGAAAGAATAATCCCGTCAAGTTGCGTACGGGAACCAATCTTACCAACACTGTATGTTCCTCTCATTTCATCATACGACAAGGCTTTCAGCACAACAGGAACAACTAAAAAATAGAAAAAATAACCAAACTTAAATCATACCAGTTATTAAACAAAATTACACATCGAAAATTGATTTTAAAAAAAATGATACTAGGGAAGTTAAATTGCTAGAGCGATTCACAAAGAATTCTCCCTTAAATTCGTGTAAGTAATGTGACCAGGAAAGTCTTTCTCTGTTATAAAAACACCTGTTGAAGTATTGTAACTGTCAGGCGGGAAAATTTAAAAAACTTTGGAAAAGTCATGATTGCTCAAACTGTTTAAGTTGTTTGCCCATCTAATCCGGAAACTCCGCGTAAATTTTGATTGCCGATGATTCGTATAGTCTCTATGTAATTTTGACTTGTGCGTTTCCTTAGGCCGTTCTGTGCCAGATATTTTGAGGAGATTTATTGTGTTGATTTCAAAGCTACTAACCTTCAGGGAGCCTATCGGGTAAAAGAAGTCCTCTACGACCGAGTTCAGCGAGAGCTAGACAACCTACAGAAAATTCAAATACAAGGATTAACAAACTCTACAACATTTAAGCAACATCTAAGTGTCGCCAAGTATCCACAGATGTTTAAAATCGGTGCGAACTGAATCTCTCTTTTTTCACGTAGCGAATCAACATCCGCGAAATGCCGTGAAATAGCTTAGCTACATGAACAATGCTACAAAAGCAGTTAAAAACCCACCTCCGTGCCAGCCACAATCTGATTCTCGGGTACTGCAAAAAAATAAATTTATTGTTACAAATGTAACATTAAGCTAAACTACACGAAGTTCAACTACTGTAGCCACATAATTAACGTGGAGATGATTGTAGATACATTGATAACATTTCATACCTGAATAATTCTAAGACGTTTTCCACAATCTGGTCGGCTAATTCTTGAGGAAGTCTCCCAGTTATCCTTCCAATCCTTATTTAATAAGAAACACTTCATAGTTCAGTCACATGTACTACACTTTCGTGCCGTCAGAGGTTTACTCAGGATTTGAAAAACTCCATATTGAAAATTTTCCAACCCACCCTTTAGCCGCTGACCATCGCACTACGGTATCCCTATCTCTGAGACCAGTCAAAAGTTTCTCTGCAAATTATTACATTCATAAATATTTACTGTCATCAAATTCTATTAAACATATCAATTACAACTTTCACTGACTAGCAAGATGCAAAAGTCTTTCAACGTTGTTGAATTCAGCAAAAAGTTTTAAGTATTTTGTAGTGAAAAGGAGATCGTAAACCAACCAATGATATCTTCTAGTTCTTCAGGAACATCATAATCTTCTTCCTGTAATACAATAAAAATTGGTTCAAAACCAAATCAACTTAAAGAGATAAAATAACAGCATTGACGCTATAATAACCTGTTATTAAAAAGTCCATCAATAGTTGAGTCAAACAAAACAAACAGACAAACATGCGAAACGTGGCCTGCACAGTTACAAGATAAATCCTTCACCTCAGCTGTGTTTAGTCCTGCTGTGTGGTGACTATTTTCATTCTGAAATAACAATTAAATTTATAAGAGAGGTGAACTTTGATGTAAAGACTGTTCTAAACCTTTCAAACTACAGGTTTGATGAATTGGAAAACTTCCACAAACACCAAGTCTCAACCAACAACAAATACATGTAAGTTTGGAAGAAGGTCTTGAAGCAGCCAATTTGAGACTGGATGTCACTTCACTACCTGTTCTTGAGAGAATGGATTGGCAAGGTTGTAAGCCAAAGATCGACTCCCTCTCTGATATCTACCAGTAAACACATAAAAAACAACAGCTTAGTGAATGCAGTGAACATATAGATGCCTCACAGCCCCTGATTTGTCACAATTGAAATATACCAAGTGGAAATATACTTTTCTCACTGATTATCATTATAAGGCAGCACAATAAATTGATAAAAAATAATAGTTTCTAAGCTGAAATCAATTTGACTAAGTAGATCTAACCTCCAGGCTGCTATTCTTGGCTTCAGAAATGTCAAACCAAGACGCTACAAGAAATGTATGGAAAGAAGCATTCATTATGAAATGTACAGAGCTGGTACAAACCTGTCACACCCTCAGTTCTGAGTGGTCACTATATCCTCATTTATTAGGTATAGGTAACAACATGATTTTGAGTGCAATTTGGTGTTAATTAGCACAAGTTACTTAAGTTACAGCGGAGTTACTACTCTTCTGACCTACTGCGAAATTTAGTACCGCAATGTCAATTTTCAAGACCATATGCCCTTAGGGCAGGAAGAACTGTGTCTGTACCTACCTCCTCAAGATCTATTAGATTTGGAAATTTTTGTACTATTAAATATCAGAATCACGTGTAGTATATACTTAACTGCAATTTATCTTATTACTTATAGTATTTAATGTTTACACAAT